CCTACTCCACAGATGGCTTTTTTGATGCTCGGCCCTTCAGCTGAGTGTTTGACTTTATTTGGTCCGAGATCAGGAGTGTTGGAGAGAGGCCCCTCAAGGGTTGTGGTTTTGCTCCTTATATCATGCATATGATTGAGCAGGTGACAGGGCACACATTTGAGTATGATAAGATTCACAAGGCCCTCAAGATTATTGCAGATTTGCTCGAGGCAGGTTACCTCCAAAGAGGACCGGGGAGGAGCAAAGAAGAAGACCAGAGGCGATGCACTGGAGTGGTGCACCAGCAGGAGCTTCACCTTCACCACGTGCTCCTTCACGTTCTACTTCACGCCATGGCAGTCCTCCTTCGCCTATCCGTAGGCTTTTCAGCTCCATATTTGGGATGTGCCGTGACATCCAGACTAGGCAGCAGAAGGAGAGGGAGGCTAGGAGGAAGGACACTCGGACTTTGAAGCAAATTGCTTCTAATCTTGAGCTTGATCCTCCTAGGTCTCCTCATCGATGAGGTGACTAGTGAGCCTGAGACTGAGGAGCAGCAGCAGGCTAGATATGATAGAGAGTATGTTGAGTTCATACAGCGACAGCAGCAGCAGCAGGCACCTGAGCACCCTGACACTCTACCACTTCAGGCTCGTGTGCCTACTCACTCTCAGCCACGTCCCAGCACTGCAGACGACTATGCTACAGATTGGTGGAGTGACCTGACAGGTGGTGGTGGCTTCTACGGGTCTGGTGGCTATGACGCGTCTGGTGCGGGTGGTTCTCGTCCCACCGGTGTTGCACTTTCGAGATGATGAGGATGCTTTGGTCGAGATGATGATGATGAGTGATCTCGACTTTCCGTGATGACTTGTAGCCCCTTTGTCCTTAGTATGTCATTGTTGGACCTTTGTGGTGATAGATGACAAAGGGGAGAGAGACTGATTAAAGCTTCAGGATAGTTTCATTTGCTTATCTTTGTACCAAGATATGTACTGCAGTTGTAGTTTGTTTTTGAGCTTCATTGATGTATCTTGGATTTGTGATAGATTGTATCATGTGAGAGATGAGACTTACTTATGCTTTATCTTTGTATCTCTTGAGACATGATCTTTATCTATATATATCGATGGTTTTCGGACTTGAGAAAATTTGTAATGAGTGCTATGTGTGAATTACATATGTCATATTTATTTTCATAAGGACTATGCATGCTAGAATGAAAATATTTGATGTGATGCTTTTATATTTATTCTTGTGTGATATATCTTGTCATATGCATCACGGTTTCTCTTTGTCACACACACATGCACTTACGGATGCAATGATTTAGGGAGTCTCCTATTTGTTTTAGTATGTGCAATTGACTTTTGAGGTCATTTTGTAAATTCTAATCATAAGCACATATTAAGGGGAGCCTCTCATAAATCATTGAACCCAAAAGTTTAAATGTTTATATCATTTTGTAAGCTTTAATCAAGTTGTCATCAATCACCAAAAAGGGGTGATTGAAAGTGCATCTAGCCCTTTAGTGGGTTTTGGATGATTGAATGACAACGTGATTAAAGGACTAACCCGCTTGCTAAGTGTGAACAGGTAATAGGTTATCTCATGTACTTAATGAAAGCCAAAATGATGTGTTGTTGTATAAACAATCTAGTTCGAGCACAAGACAACAATGCAAATGGAATTCATGTGAAGGCTTATTTTTGTGGGATTTCCATTGACTATGTGAAAGCAAGCTCATGATTATTAGTTAATGAGACATGAGGGATTGCATATGGAATGGTCTCATATTTGAAGCTTGCTAAATTAAAATGAAAAGATAACAATACATATGAATGGATGATTCAACACAAGATGTGACTTGATGGCTTGAGATGGTGAAGATAGCAAGGAAAGGCTTGAGGTACTAAGCAAGGGTGAAGGGCAAGCGGCGGCTTGGCGGCGTCGAAGAACCTAGCTAGGGTGAAGAAGAAAGTACTTGCATTTAGTTGAGGTACTAATCAAGCTAAGATGGTCATATTGATGTGAAGAATCAAATCTATAATGAAGTATTTGATGGAAGTGACTTGATACATTTGGGGTTATTCAAATTTGATGAATGGAATCAAGTCACATGCTCAAGATGGCTATGCTCAAATGAAAAGATCAACATCAACTTGTTAGCACCCTTACTTGATGAAGATTGGAAGGGACGGCATCAATTCAAAAGAAATCAACTCAAGTGGTATAAATTCTTTTTCTTTTGATCTTGAGTTTAATAGGTATGCCGTACTATTAAGAGGGATGCATCATGTTGATAGATAATGTTTCATAAGTGCTCAAGCCAACCCATGTGAGGTTTGATTATTTGAGCGACAAATGTGCTAACTGATTTCTTCTTTGATGTTGGGCAATACCGGGACGTGTCCCAGTATTTGTCCAAGCAATTTGCAAAATTGTTGTTCTCGGGTTGCTTTGTCGGGAGTTCCGGCGTGGGTCGGGAGTTCCGACGGTCGGGAGTCCGGCATGAGTCGGAAGTTCGGACGCCTCGCACTTCAACACACTTTGAGGTTTCATTGTTCCGGTCATACCGGGACGTGTCCGGTATTCACACCGGACGTGTCCCAGTATGGATGACCGAAGCCAACGGCTAGTTTTCAAAAGCCGTGAGGGTCGGGAGTTCCGACATGCGTCGGGAGTTCCGACACCTCACTAACTTCTTCAGTTACATGTTTTTCAAAATTCTTTGAGGGTCGGGGTTCCGACTTGAGTCGGGAGTTCGACGGTCGGAAGTCCGGCATTCTTCGGGAGTTCGATGCCTCACAACATCACAGTAACTTAGTTACCATTGGCTTGATCGAGTCATACCGGACGTGTCCCAGTATTGCAACGGCTATAAAGCGGCTAGTTTTTCAAGGGGCTATAAATACCCCAAGCCTCCACCTTTGGTGGTCGCTGATTCTCTCGACTTAGACACACGTTTTTGAGCCTTACCAACCCTCTCTTAGTGAGTGATTGATCAAACTTGCAAAATCAATTTGTGGGTTGAGTGAAATTCAAAAGAGAGCCATCCAACCACTTGAGCACTTGTGCATATTGTCAATCTCGTGATTCGCATTTGTTACTCTTGGACTCTTCGGTCCTAGACAGTTAGACGTCACGGAGAGCACCCGGAGATTGTGGTGTGCCTCGGAAAGTTTAGAATTGGTCGATTCCGCCGCCTCGGAATCAATTAGTGGAAGGAGAAAAGGAGTTGGAAAAGACTCGGCTAGAGTGACCTTCGTGGTATCCTCTAGGGTTGACCTTCACTGGGTCGCCCGCAGCCCCCTCAACGGAGAGTAGGACTCGAGCGAGTCCGAACTTCGTAAAACAAATATCGTGTCTCAATTCGCATTTCATTTGATATTTGTGTTGCTCTAGCACTTGTGCAGGAGTTCTCTGTATATCTTGATAGTTAAATTAGGTGCCTGCAGTTTGGTTTGAAGATAGAAATCAAAAGGAGCAAGTTCGGGGCTGATCTGCAGAAATCGTGTATACCGGACACGTCCGGTATTCATACCGGACACGTCCGGTATTTCCTGTCTGCATTGAAAATATTTATTCTCTGTTCTATCTTGGTGTTGCAGGGTTGTAGCTTCTAGATATATTCTTTATACCTTGTTTACTTTGTGGCTAACTTGTGAGGGGTGGTAGTACTCTTGATTTGGAGTTTTCATTTTGGAAACTCCCCCTTCTAATTGTTTCCGCTTTTAAAGGTGTTATTTTTCAGAAACGCCTATTCACCCCCCCTCTAGGCGGCATCCTAGGTCCTTTCAGTATCGCCTATCGGCCTATGGTTCACTACTTCACACAACACACTATGTCGATAGTGTGAATGGCATCATTGATGCCTCCAGCACTGGTCTCGCCTTGGAGTATACTACTTTACACTTTGTTTTTAGTGTTTTAACACTATATTTGTTGTGATATATATGTTCATGTATGCGTGCACATATATGTTGACATAAATATGCTACTATTTATGTGTCAAATGACACACACAACGTAATATGCTACTTTTTATCTAGATTAAATTATGCCTGAAAATACTTATATATGTAGAAGAACAGAGATACTGCTTGATATGATTAAAAATAATTTAAAACTTTTTTTGCGGGTGCTGTTCATGGAAACGTACTGCTTTCAGTTCTAGACCTGATTGCAGCAATGTGAGGTCTACAAGGAGCCGTTACAAGTCGACTACACATTGGAGTCGATGGCTATGGACTTGTACATTCCATGGGCCATGGATGCCCTTTTACGGTTAGAATTCAACAATGATGCACATTGCCTATGTGGCCGTAGTATATTTTTTAATTTTGGTAGTCTCAGGGTTCATCGTGTAATAATTGTGAATTGGACATCCTCTTTTTGAAGAGAAGATTGAAGCCAGGAGAAAAAAGAAGAAGAAAGGAGAACTTGGGACATTAATTGGGATCCTCTTATTGCACGTTCACAGAGTCTTGTTAGCAAACAGTTCGGTAAAATTTCGCTAACTAACAGTTTCCTAAAACTATTTTTTGTATATCTTTTCTGTTTTCTTTTTCCAAGTGAAATATCTCTGAAACATTACATGCGGCACAACATTGTATGGCAACGCGTTCACCGCTCAGTGACTGAAGAGACTAGTAGTATCTGAAATAAAAATCGTGCTAATGTAGTGGGTTTAAAGGCCCATTTCATTTTTAGCCCGGGCGTGTCTGCGTGGAGACTGTAGGGCAGAAACGCAGAAGCCCAAGAGATAAAGGAGGCCGAATTGTGAACGTGACAGCGACGCATACAAGCCGAGCTATAAATTTCTCCACCATTTTGGTCCGAATTTTCTAACGGAAAAATATCTCATCACACGACCGCAACGCTGCATGAGGCAGTTTTCAACGAACCGTGCAACCACCGGAGCCACTCGCCAGCCAACCAACGAAGACCCTATCCAAAAGCAGAGGCAAAACCAGGCCAAGACGAGACGCAAGCTGCAGGCACCCGCCCACGCCCGCGCCATGAAGTGCTGGTGCGTGCACGCGCCAAGAGGAGCAATGGCGACGCCGCTCTCCAGCCCGTTTGCTCCCACCACCCTCCACTCCCCTCTCCGGCACCGCGCCCTGCTGCTGCTGCTGCTGCCGTTCCCTCCCCGTGCGGCCTCCTCCGGCGAGGACACCGCAGCAGCCGACCAGGAGCAGACACCCCCGGCGGCCACCAAGACGGCCACCGCGGACGACGACTTCGAGCAGCGCGTCCTACAGATCAAGTCCCGCGTCGGGCCCAAGAAGCGCGGCGCGCGCAAGAAGAAGGCCGCGGCGTCGTCCGCGTCCGCCAACGCCGTGACGCTCCCGCCCGTGCCGCTGCGGGAGCCCCGGTCGGCGCTCGGCGCGCCCGTCGAGTTCGGCTTCACCGCGTACAGCGAGCGGCTCAACGGCGCGCTGGCCGCGGTGGGGCTCGCCGCGGTGCTGCTCGTGGAGCTGGGCTCCGGGCAGGCCCTGGTGAAGTACCACCAGCCTGCCACGCTGTTCCTGCAGGCGTACACCATCGCCGCGGCCGCCGCGCTGTTCGTCAAGTACGAGAAAGAGCGGATCAGCACGTGGCCGGGGCCGCCGGCGAAGTGAAATGGCGAATTTTTTGTTCCGGTAGGGTGCGTCTTTTCTTGTAATTTTACCTCTCGATGTGCCTTGCAGTTGCAGGAATATGTGTGTTGTGAGAACTGGGAAATGTCGGACATTTGAGGAAAGAAGAGCTTGATCTTTAACAGTCGTTTTAACACCTTTAATTTCATTTCATCGGTCACATCGTGCACAATGCTTTGTGATGCTTTTGTCGAGAGAACTGAGAAATTAATCTTGAAAGGCGTGAGTTTACTATGGCTTTGCGATGCTGTTGTTGTTGAGAGCTGTCCGCAGCAAGTCTGTTGGCATGAATTGCTGCGTTGCTGAATGGCTCCTTCACGAAGAATAGTCTGACGCATCACAGTCGGACCACAGACTAGCAGCCCGTTCGTTTGGCTATGGCTTATCGTAAACGATCGTAAATTTTCAGCTAGAATAGTATTTTTCTCTCAAACAAACCAGCCAGCAGTACTTCTCTACGAACCAGCAATAAAACGAATCAGCAGTCGCCGCCGCTCTCGACGCCATTTCGCGCACCAAATCGGCCACGACTTGCTAGCTCGAGAAAGCAAGCAAACGCGTGTGGATTTGCTAGGCGCAGGCGACGACTTGCCCGTCTAAGCGCAACGCCGGTCAAGCGCCGATTTGCCAGGCGACAAACTAATCGATTCTCATCGCGCTCGCGCATTCGCATTCGGGTCGCGTCAATCCCAACCCCGATGGTCGACAGTAGCACGACAGCGCCTGGACGGCTGGACCACAAAAAGAGAATTATGAAGACGCCAAATGCCTCGAGCTGTCAAGCACGACTAGACGGCAGTCGACCAACCACAGATCATCAACGAGCCAAGCACCAAACACACCGATTCCCTGGAGCACGCAGCAGCTACTTCGCAGCTCCTTCCAGTCCCACGCCCGGCACAGTTGTAAGCCTCCATAGATCATGTGAAATTTCACCGAAGTGGCGTTGTCGCCTTCACGCCCGGCGCACCTTGGCACCTTTTCCACACCACGACTAGGTCCCCAAAGGGACGGTGTGCCAAAACAACACCCAACAGTCAACACACATCTTTATTCGGTGCATATTAGCCCGCTAGCTGTACACCCATGGAGTGTCGGGCCAGCCAATCCAACCAGACAGCAACGACGTAGACCAGACCACAAGGGTACGGTCCCACAGCAGCTGTACTCCCATCAACTCAAAACCAAATTATAGACAAGTTGGTCTTTAATACAAGGTCCCACCAGCACCCATGCATGCATGTAAAAGTATTGTGTAGCTTTTTGCCCAAACAGGTTCGCCTCCTTGCTCAGTTGCAGCCAGGCAAAAATAGCACATGCCGGAGGAGTCTTATTCACTGAGCTTGGCCTCAAATTTCAGTGTCTCCACCTTCATCATCCACATGTACTAGCAGCTCAGCTTGTACAAGGAGCAGGATCCAGGGCTACTTTAGAGAGGACTATGCTTTAGACGCTGCAGGTGTCTGGGAGCATCACACTGCAGCACCATGTTCTCCTGAGAAAATAATGCAACAAACAAACCAATATATGGAATGGAAGACGCTGGCAAAAAGGTGTTGGGTTTGGCTGAGACTGAGAGATGTGTGGCAGATGCCCTCAGTCAGTCCAACCAAAGGCCAACGTCGTCTTCATTAGCCGGTCATGCTGTGAGTAGGTTCAGTACCTTCTCCTTTTTGGTCTGTCATTCGAGTCACTGTCTCGCCACCCTTGATGACCACCACGGTGCCTGTACCCATCCTCTTGTTCTCCTCTTGCCCTGCTGTGCCCCATCCTGTTCCTGAAGCGGCCATCGTGCTCCCGTGGACCAACACCTCCTTCAGCAAATTCCATGTCATCCTCTGTCTGGTAGGAGAGCATCTCGTCTTCATCACTGACCGGAGAATGAAGATATGCTCTCCGCTCCCTATGCTTCCTTCTACCCACAAGTTCCTCTTCTGTATGGAGTCCAGCTAGGTGAGCAGCATGTAGCGGTGGCTCAAAGGCATCACCTTCCAAGGCGCACCTCCTCACATTTCTCTGCATGACTTCTCTCTCATCATGGCTTCCGTTGTGACGGCGGTGAGGCAAGTATGGTCTGTCAGTTCGCATTAGTGGCGGTGATCTGTGCATCGCTTCAGGTGATCGTCCCCGATGGAAATGCACATGGCCACCCCTTCTGTGTGCAGGCGAATGGCTCCTGTCTCTGTGGATGAATCCATGATCACCTTGACCACGGTGTCTACGGGAATGTGGCATAAAAAACCTATCATCCATCATGTCATCTGGGAGATCTTCTATTTGCCCATGGGCCAGCAGCCTAGAGTCTGGAATCTCTCTTCCATAGAAATCGTCAATGTCCATCTCTCTCATGATGCAGCCACGTGGTGGTGAATGACGCCTCCTATGTGGACCATGGATGTGCCCAGGTTCATCTTCAAATGAACGCCTCCTGCCACCAATAGATTCATCAACAAACTCATTGGTCATTCTTGGACCTCGGAAGTTCCTCAGATGGCCACGGGATCCAGCACCCCGCCAACCACCACGGTGGTTTGTCATTCGTTTGTTCATAACGTCAGATGCATGTCTGCCACCATGGCATTCTCCATTGTTCTTTTCTCGCTCGGACTCCATGAATCTCTCCCATCTTTCGTTCCTGTAAAAATGGCACATGGACAAAAGGAGGGAAAACTTTTATAATTCAAGCCAAACATAAAACCATGCACACCTAGGCACCATACGCAAGAGGACCTTGAGTCATGATTACTGTAGTATCCCACAATGGAAACAGATGACACGAAACATACCTATTCACATAAACATGCCCCAGTGTCCAATTTGCCCCAACAAGTTGTCCATCTTTTTCATTCTGTAGAGATGTGTTACAAGAGTCAGGTTTGGATTTGTCATGTTCTGACTTTTCAGACGCTGACTTCTTGCCATATTCACTATGCTGTTGACTGCTTGAAGCGCCATCAAGTTCTGAGTCTTCACCCAGGACAGAGTCTCTTGGGCGCAAATCAGAGTGTTTACCGACCTCTTCACTTTTAGTCTGATGCTCTGTCTTCAAAGCAGCAATTTTTGCATGGTTCTCACTACAACTTCCAGCTTGCATACCATTTGGAGACTTTATATCTGGGCTTCTAGTCTTCTCTAGGCAGCTATCTAAAGTCTTAGGAGAATGCTTGGTAGGTTGCAGTTTAGGGGAATCAGATTTTGGCAAAGCTGATGACTTTTGGAGATGTGTGGTACTGGAACCTGTGGCAGTCTTAGCATCATGTATGCTATTGTCAGTATTATTTACTGGGATATTCTTATCAGAATTCAAAGATTGCTTGCCTTTAGAGTTTTCACTAACAATAACCTCATTTCGGAGCCCCTGCTGACCTGCATGGCTGACAACACCAACTTTTGTTTTAATACACTTGCCACCTTCAATAGGATCAATATTAACCTTATTTGTCATAGATGAACAATCTTGATGCATATCACTATCGTGTTCTTTCTTTAGCTCTTTGCTTAAGTTATCAGTATTGATACCATCCTTGCTGATTGGGGGGCCATTCCCCAATGGCTCACCATGAGGCTTATTTGTAGTTGGAATTCGTGAAACAGTATTACCATCATCATCTGAACAGTCCATTTCAGCACTCCCTTGTGACATACCATCAACAATAGCATTCTCCAGAGAATTAAAAGGCAAAGGTTCAACTGTAGGACTGGAGGAACTTTGTAATGCACCACTAGATTCATTAGCATCACAAGGCCTCTGTCTCGTATCCTCATGAGCAGTGGGCTGGCTGGTTGGTGGTTTGCAAACAGTGGGCTGGCTGGCTGGTGGTTTGCAAACAGTAGAAACAGTGGGCTGGCTGGATGATTCACATAACCCAACAGAAGGGCTGGCAACATTACTTTGCGAAGGCAGTGATTTTGCTTCCATCAACAGTGTAGTATGACCACTTCCTGTTACTACAACAGGGAGACTAGGGGTAGCACTTGTGGATTCTTCATGCTTCACACATTTGTCAACTTCAGGAACAGCAGGCATGGTCTTGGCGTGGGAAGTATCAGGTAAACTTTCAGCTGGTACTGGGACACTAACTGCTGCTACATCAGGCCCATTATGGATAATATTATTTGTAGAGATGTCAGAATTCAAATCAAACCCAGCTTTACGGGGACCTTGGGGTGCACTGTCAGTCTTTTCAGATTCGGCACAACTGATAACTAGTCCAACACTTTGTCGTTCTGATAGATTTGCCTTTTCAGCACCGTCAAGAATATGCTGCTGGGATATTTCTTCAGGTTCTTTCTTCACCAAATTATTAGATGGCAGCTGATCAATTCCAGAAACAGTTGCTGATGTAGTATTCTGAGGATTTACATTGCAGGGAACGGGTGTTACAATCTTCTCAACTGGTGCCTTATCTGACACAAGTGTAGCAGGAGCCTCCTCATTGACCTTTTTGGAACTTCCAGCAGTCCCAGAATCAAATAAAGCATTAGGGGTGCTAAGAGACTTGGGCTCATCCATAGGCTTACCAAATAGAGAGAGACTCAGTTCTGGAGCAGGAGCAAGTCCTTTCCAGTTTATCCCTAGCTCAGGTCTAGTTGGTGGTTTAAGTTGCAAATCTAAGGTAACATCAGCTGGTCCAGACTTATGAGAAAGCCCATATGAGTTAGACATGTTCAGAGTACTGCCAATATTTCGACCTATTCCACTGCTTATTGTAGAAATAGCTGCCGCTGGGGTCACCTGAGCTTTCTGATGTTGAATTGTTCTATGATGATACAACCCACACCCACTTTCATTAATTTTAGGCAAACCTTCAAGTGAATCAGCTGGGTCTGGCAGTATATTCAGATCCAAGTTAGGTAGTCTCCCAACAATACTATTCCCAGAAGCATTGATTTCATTTGCAATAGGAACGTTATTGTGGTGTTCAGAAAGACTCTGGTCCAGTTTCTCTTCCTTCACAAGTGAGCCATAGTTATTATTTTTGCCACTTTGACGAGATGGTAACTGTAAATCCAGAGCCAAAAAATTTGGAAGTTGAAATTCAGCAACTGGTGCAGAAGTCCTTGTAGCACTATCTGCAATAGAAGAGATCTCAATTGATCCAGTAAATAGCACTCCTGTGCCATTGGCCATGGATAGCGCAGTATGCGACGTTTTGGCATGGTCTTGGATCTGGGTGTCAGGGATTCCCTTACCTTTGGTGATGACATTTGTGTCTGAGTTACCAATGTTGAAGAATGGTTCCTCGCAGCGGCCGGTCCCTGTAGCAGTAACAGGCATCGTCTTCGTTGGAGATGGGGGCTTTATCGAGAGTGGTATGGCAGATGCAACCGATCTGTCGGACAAGAGAACTGGCCTCTTCTTGATAGGCACGCCAACCCCAGGCTCATCCAACCGCGGTACAAGTCGGTGACTGCAAACCTGCTCATAAAACACCCAGGATTTTTACGCAAATGTGAAAGAGACGTTCAAACAACCAGAATTGACCTCCGAGGAGGAAGTTTCTGAGTACCTCTTCCTTCTTGGCTAGCGACATCTTGCCGTGTCACGGACAATCAGCTGATAATCTGTGTCCTCTGGTACAAATCGTTGTCAGTTTCCCCAGATTAAGCAGAACCGAAGGCACAGCACATCGCATACCAACCGACAATAAACAAGCAGATGATAGGGTAGATCAAAGATACTACTAGAAGAACAGTGAGGTAAAAAATAATATTCTTAATATAGAAGAAGAAATTATTTATTGCCATGTTAAATTAAAGGCAGTACGAGTTTTCTATAGAAAATAATCAAACTATCAAAGAAGTAGACTGGCAGAAGGTAGATAGAAACAAATCTACTGCGTTAATGATGAATGGATTGTACACAAACAGAAAGATTCAATTAGTGCAAACACTACAGTAGCAAATATAGAGCATCATTGGGCCATCAAACAAATTCAATTCTTCCCAGATGCCGCAGCCCGACTCATTCACTGATGACGAGGTGAGATTATCGACATCATAATCAGAACTAAACTACAGCTACCACTCCCACTAAATTGCTAGTAACCCCATGCAAATCAAAGCGCAGCAGTGGCTGAAGAACAAGTCCCTCACACAGCTGCAGTGCAGTGCAAAGTGAGCAGCCAAAAAACTTTCCTCAAACGCAGAAGCGGAATCCACGGCCCCAGAGGCATGAGCAACAAGATCACACGCTTGCGTGGAATAGAAGCATCCCAATATACCTCGAGAGGAAATCAGCAATCTGAACAAGACGACCAGGATATCTACCCGCGGCTCAGTCAGGCAGGAAGATCGCCAAATATCAGCGAGATGGATCGAGAAAACTTTGGGGAAAAAAAAAGACAACACAAATCTCGTATCCCTCTCCTACCGCTCCACTCCCCGGGACCTCACAAACAACATCGTCTCACACAGACGGGCGAAAAAGAAAAGAGAAATGAATGGCGAAAATACAATGAACTAGTACCTGAGGAGCGCTCCAGTCTGGCCCAGAGCTCGTTCACGCTGAGTGCGGCCGACAGGAGCAGACGCGCGGGCGCGGGCGCCGCAGCGATTAAAAAGGAGTGCTCCTTGGCAGCTCACTGGCTTGCGACAGCGACGGGCCAACCACTCCCTAATCCGCCTGCTCCCCCTCCTGCCGCTTGCGTCGTCGCCTGATCTGATCTCCCTTCTCTCTCCAGTCTCATCTGCGCCAATCTGATTCCTTCCCTCCCTCCCTCTCCTCCCAACCCAAGAACCAAAAACTGCAGCGCCCGAATATTTCCGCCCCGTTTTTTTCCCTTTATAGCCGTCTCGAGATGCGGTGCGTGCGTGCCTTCCCGGAAGTTGCTCGAGTCTAGTCCCACCCCACGCCAGTGTGGGGCCCAGCCAGATCGGGTGGTCTGGTGCGCGGCACGTGGTGCGGCCGGTTTAATTGGCCGTCCGCGTTGCTATGGTAGGGCGCCCAAATAATTTATCTGCCGGCGGGGCCCGCAGTCCGTGGGCTAGGTGAGCGGGGCCGTCAGTGGGGATTTTTTTAATATTTTTTTAAACTATTTTTAATTCTAATACTGTTTAATTTTTTTTAAACTAACACTTTCGACCACAGCTATTCGCATGGCGCGACGAAATCACGTTGCCGCGAGAGCGGAGATGTGGCAGCGACAGAACGCTGACATGACCGAGGCTGCCACGCCGCGGATCTAGACGCCGCACTGATACGCCACGGAGTATGACGGGACAAGACAGGCAGGCGAGCAGAGGTCAGGAGCTGAGAAAGCTCGGTCAAAGATTCGATCTCGTGTTTTCGGACGCGGCGTCGAGACGAGCTGGCGGACCCCCTCCCCACGCCTACATTCATACACACGGTCACAAGACGTGACGCATGACGCTGACAAGGCAGGCCAGTGTCCGTGTGTCAATGTACACATACGCGTGTACTACCGCGTGCCCGTCTACTGTACTAGCAGTGCCGGTCCCCCGAGCGGCACACGCAATCAGTGCCCCCTAATACAGCCATCTTAATAATAAATAATACTATATGATTATATATTAAATATTACAAATAAACACTTGAAATATATAAACAATATTTTATGAAATATTTTATTTGTACTCAGTATCATTTGGAATCTTGTTTGATGTTGCATATAAATAGACATGTTTAATTTAGGACAAAAGTTAAACGATTTACTACTTCTATTTCAAATTATAAGAAATTTTTATTTTAGATTCATAGCCTTTGTTACGCACCTAGATAAATAGTATGTTTACAAAATATCTTATAATTTGAGATGGAGACAAGCAAACGCTAGATCAGTTGGTCTGGTTATGCGCTTTGCACCCTGCAGGCCAGAGTTCGAACCCGCTCGGGGGCGGATTTGTAGGTCGAAGGAGACGCAATTTATCTGCGCATAGAAAAAAAATCCCCCCGTCTGCCCCACGTCAAAGCACAGGTCTAAGGCTAGCCCAGCCTCACGGGAGCTACGGTGCCACTGTGTATGGGTGGGGCAGAGATTCAGGAGTTTTCTTGACCTACGTGAGGTCTTTTTCTAAAGCACGATGCCCGAGAATGTCTTACCTCCGCGGGTCGAGTTTTTTTAATTTAGGATGGAGGAAGTATAGTTTACATTGCAACTGAGGGAATTTCTTTTAATATTTATTTATGCAAAATTATCATCAATCTAATAATAAACACTTATACTTTAACATTCATTATTTATGCAAAGTTGATCATCCATTTAGCACAACAGGAGGAATTAGCGATTCAAGATGGCCATTGGATTCAGAAATCTGGAGAGGAGGATGTGAGGGCGTGTAAGATTCCAAGACTGCACCAGCGCGCGTTCTATTTTTTTTTGAGAAAAAAACAAGCCGAAACATTGTTTCGGCTGATTTGTTGTGAGAGAAAAACACTGTTTTGGTTGAAAAAACAAGTTAAAAAAGATGGATTAGCCAGCATAGTGTTTTTCGGCTTGTTTTTTAGACGGCAATGTTTTTCTCTCACAATAAATTAGTCGGAACAATATTTCGATTTGTTTTTTCAACGAAGCGAACAGGGCTGATTTTTTGTATGGCAAAACGAGAACAAACTCTTATGAAAACCATGTAATCAAACGTACCCATGTTGACTTGCTAGCCTAACTCTACTCCCTCCGTCCCACAAATAAACGCAATTCTTTGACTGCTACGATTATTATTTGACCATTTGTCTTATTTAAATTTTTTGTGCAAATAATAAAATAAATAAATTATTATGAAAATATCTCTAACGATAAAATAAGTCATAACAAAATAAATAGTATTTATTTAAATTTTTTAAATAAGATAAACGGTCAAACAGGAATCATAGAAGTCCAAAAATTACATTTATTTGTGGGACGGAGGGAGTAATTCTTAGTCAGGCTCCAGCTAACATGGAAACCAAACACACTTATTTTATTGACATGTTCGTTTGTTCGTATCGTGAATTATAAATTAAAATAATATTTTTCTCGCACACGTTAGCCGACGGTAAATAATCCATGATCTTGCGACGAAACGAAAATTTTCAGGTTCATAAGCCTGTTTGCTTGCTCGTAAACGATCGTAAATTTCCAGCCGAGAACCGTGTTTTTCTCTCACACCAAACCAGCCAATAGTAAATAATCCACGATACGATACAGCCGGGCCGCTGGGTGGGTCTGCTCGGCAGACGGCAGGAGCAGGGCGGACTTGACAGTGCGTAATAGCCCTTGTTTAATTGGACCTCAAAATCTAAAAAGTTGCTACAATATCTGTCATATCGAATGTTTGTGGTTTATGCATGGAGCATTAAATGTAGACGAAAAGAAAAATTAATTGCACAGTTTGGTGAGAAATTACAAGACGAACATTTTAAGCCTAATTAGTCAATGTTTGGACACTATTTGCTAAATAAAAACGAAGGTGCTACAGTAGCCCTAAAATCTAAATTTGGCGAACTAAATAAGGGCATATTAGTTCGTGCCGGTCCTACACATCCCTCGACTGCCTGACACGACCGGGCAACCAGTACCTGCCTCGGGAAGGACTTGAAGGAGAGCCGGCTGGCTGGATTCCTTGTACAGGGCCTGCTGCTGGGGTGCTGCGTCGCGTCATCGATTCTGCAGGGTTCGGTCACGGTCATCGTACAGGTACGATGCAAATACTGTACTCGTAGGAGTAGCGAGCAACAGACACGTCGCGCGGCTGTGTCCGGACTCCGTGGTCCGTCCGGAGGCCATTTACGACGGGATACGCATGCACTGTAGTCGTATCGACAACAAAATGGTTCTCTAACGGACAATACTCCCCAGCACACGTGACTGCACCGGAGCACGGCGTAGAAGATCGCGTTGGAAAAGGTGTTGTGCACCTGGGTGCACGCCACCACTTTTGGCTGGCTCTGGCTGAGGACTGAGCGCAGTTTGGTTGTACAGTAGATTTCGGATGATTTAGGATGCTTAAATAGTATTCTGTCAAGCTCAAACAATCCGAAACATGAGCAGCCGAACACGTTGTCTCACGGGTTGAGCCTTTGTTTAGTTCCACCCTAATTTTTAAAAAGTTGCTATAGTATATATCACATCGAATGTTTGCGGCCCATGTATGAAGCATTAAATGTAGACGAAAAGAAAAACTAATTATACAGTTTGGTGGGAAATTGCGAGACGAACGTTTTGAGCCTAATTAGTCCATGTTTGAACACTATTTGCCAAATAAAAACAAACGTGCTACGGTACCCCTAAAATCTAAATTTTTAGAACTAAACAAGGGCTGAATATGAACGATGGATGGTGCGCCGTTGCGGTCACGCTCCACCAAATCCCGCCGGGCGGCAGCATCTCATGCTCATCTAACCCCCCGTCGCCGTCACGAGGACATTACTACTCACTGAGACGCTGACCACCCGGACCACCACCAGATGGCAGATACTGGTGGCCTGGTGCCGGCCTGGCGGCCTTTATCATCATTCATCACAAGTGGACAGAATAGCATGTCCGCATGTGCCAACTCTATGGCCCGTTTGATACGAATTCTCACTGTTTAGTTA